TTTAATATTCTAAATGTGGATATCACCCTTTTTTTTATTATTATTATTAAGATTTCAACTGTTGTAGTTACCTTGTCAAGTGTGGCCGATACAGGCCACCAAACAATCCACCGACAACTTAACTAAAATAAAACGCAGTCCATCAAAAAATATATATATAAACGCAGTGATTTAGGAATTAGGAGACAGGAGTAAATTTGAAATTTCAGTTTGTGTACAAAAAAAAAAAAATCTATAAATGGATTAAAATATAAATTTTGTATTATTGGGGAACATATCCTAAATTTTCTTCTAAATTATTTTAAAACGTTAAAACTTTTTCCTAATTGTAAAAAGAAAAATTCCTTAAAAAATGATTGAATTAGAATGATTTTTCTTATGATGCTTTTGAATAATCTACTATCACATTAATGAATTATTAAGTGACTCTTGTTATTAAAAACATAAATTAGTTGCACCTATAGCTTTAATTATCTTGATTAAGGTGTAATGAACTCTTGATAAATGTTAGGGCTCAATTCACTGCAACATTAACTAATTATTCCGATTCTCCCAAAATTTTCCATGTTAAAAAAAAAAAATCATACATTAGTTAAATAACATTTACTTATTTGGTGAACATAATTAGATATACAAACAAGAATTTAACTAAAATAGTATCATTAATTTTAAAATATTAATTTAAAATTAATATTAAAATTTTAAATATCTATAATATTAAATAACTAACTTTTCAAATATATATATAAACATCATCAATATATATAAAATAGTGAATTATTACATCACTTAAAAATTACATTATTTTTTTTTTAATCGAGTTACATTGTGAGGGAATGAAGAAATGGAAAGGACGAATTCAAATCTAATAAAAAACATGTATGAGAAGCAACTAATTATTCAATCTGTAATTTCTCGAAAATTACACCATCTTAGACAAAATATATATAAAAATTCATATATACATCGGTTAACTATTCCCGTATAGATGAAAAATTTAGGCCAAGAATTTCATAATTTGACAACAAAATACTCCGAATTGCATTATAATATGTCATTATTTCTCTTGAGCAATGATCTTTAGAACAAAAAATTTTTATATTATTCATCATATATATATGCTCTTATAACACCCACACCATAATTAGTATAGTTAATATAAAATCATCCTAAATTTTAGTCCCAAAATTAATCCCCGTAACTATCATTATTCTTTTTCTAATCTCATAGGATTCTTTCTTGCTCTTCATTGAATGCACAGTTCCAATATTTTCATCATATATTATGCTAAGATGATAACTTTTTTATACATTTTATAATAGATTATAAAATAATAGATACCAACTACAAGTGGGTGGATGAATTTGATGGAATTTTTTCAATTTAATCATAACTTTTGATTTCAAGTCTTCTGGATGCAGTTTCGTTAAAATTTGTGAAGGAGACTTTTGTTACCCGTTGAGTTCTGCCCGACTCAAACTCAGATTAATCGATGACCAAATAAATTTTCAGATACGAATCCATACAAAAAAAAAAAAAGAAAGAATAGATACCCTCATTTCTTTAAAGCTTCTTTTTAAGATTCCAACACAGTATATCAAGCTTTTATTCAATGTGTATATACAATATAGACTATACAATATAGTAATAATTAATATATAACCGTTACAAATAAGGTATTAAAAAAAAAAGTATTTCCAAATCATCCGAGCATTGGATAATCTTGAGGGTGTTTTGTGAAGTTTAAAACGAGCTTGTTTTAAAAGCATATTATTTTTTTTTTATAAATTTAAAATTTTATTTTAAAAAATTTTAAATTAATTTTTTAAATATATTATAAATAAATTGTAAAAAAGTTACACGTCAAAACCTTTTTACAATTTGCTTAAATTTTATTTTAAAAAGTAATTTTAAATTTTTTAACAAAATATTAAATTTATAAAAGATGTATAATTTTTTTTTTGACAAGTGAAAAATTGAAAAATGAGGGAATAGTTACAATATTGCTGCACTGATAGCTTGAACCCTTGATAAAAAAACAAAAAAAAAGGTGCACTTCCATCGCGCGGCTAAGGCGGCAAGTGCATAAAAGATGAATAATAACTTTTAGAGTAAGTGATTTTTAAATTTTGTTGAAGAGACTCCTTAATACATCATAGATGAGAATTAAGTATAATCTATATTGAGCCATATCTATTTTATAATTGAAGTTATTTATCCTAACATTTTTTTTATCTTAGTTGTACAATAAAAGATAATTATTTTTTATCTCTTATTCCACTCTATTCACATATTATATGATTCGAATTCAAAACCTCTTATTTTTAACGAAAAAAAATAATTACTAAATTATTTAGGTTGTTGACATTTATCCTAACATTTTTAGTAACACAAAATGTGGTAAGATATAATAATATGATGAAATAAATATTTCATTTGGTAAATTTTATTTGTTTTAATTTGATTTTTACATAAAATTTAATTAGATAATTTTATATAATAAATAAATAACAATTGAAATTTTTTTCTTTTTATATGTAATTCTTGTTGAATATTTTTATTTACATAAATAAAAATATTCAACAAAAATTACATACAAAAATTACATATAAAAATAAAAAAAATTAATTATAATTCATTTATTATATGAAACTATCAAATCAAATTCAATATCAAAGTCAAACAGAATGAAATATTAATTAAAGAAAAAGAAACATTTAATTTTATATAAGAAAATAAGTTGTGAATTTTCAAATTAATTTGCAAGAAAAATATAGAAATACTTAGTATTAAATTAAATATCTTTAATCAATTAATGAGATTTCCATTAAAGATATTAAAATAATTTCAAAGATGTTAGTACATTATTTTCATGCTTGACTTAAAAAATATTTTCAAAAAAAATAAATAAAGGAAGAAATATAATACAATATATACAAAGAAAAAAAAAAGGCATTTATTTTATAGAATAAGAAAAAGTTTGGATTAATTCTACCTTCCACCAGCACCATCAACGAGAGAAGGTACAAAGGAAGGGCGGAGGCTTTAGCTTTAATTCCGTGCAATCTAGATTTTCTCGCGGATAAAATTTCCTGAAACCCAATTCTTTCGATTTTCGGATTTCGGATTTCGGAGTTCTTTAGGTCTTCTGTCTTCGTCTTCCCCACTTCCTGCAAAATATCCAATCAACCCTCCCTTCTCTCCGTTATCTGCGCCCAGCTTTCCCTCCTCATACAGGTTCACTTTTCTTCCTCCTATTTTTCATTCAATTCTGCTTTTATCAGTGATCGGGGTGTCCCGATTGCTTCAATTGGGTATTCTGTCCAATTTGTGTGTTTCCTTTTATTGATTTCTGATGTTTTTTGGGTCGATCATGAGTTTTTTTCTAAGGATTTTGGGTTGCTTTTTATGATTATTGAATTGGTTTACGTGTTTTTGCCCTTTTCAATTACAGGAATTATGTTATTGTTTCCTGAATGGAATTGCTTTTTGATGGATGATTATCAGTGCCTTTTTTTTTTTTTTTATTCGAGGGAAGGTGGAGAATGATAGTGCTTTGTTTTCTCTTCAATGGGTTCACGCTTGGTTGTTGAATCTATGTTCCTTACTACTAAAGGGAACAACTTTTCCAGTTTTCCTTAATTATGAATAAAACATTAAGGAATTGTCACTTTTATGAGAAAAAGAAGGAAAATTTGGAAAACAAAACAATTGATTCTTGTAATGGCAATATTAACTGGTTTATTTTTATTTTTTTAAAATAAAGGTGATGATGTAATCCACTCTGTTTAGCTAGTGGTAATTCAGCTTTTATTGATTTGTTAGAAGAGGAACTTTCGCCCTTTAGAGACGTTGCTGTCGATTAGGTTTGATTAGGTAGTGGTTATGTGAAATCGGTACCAGTTACTTAGTGCACTTACTTGCGTTGAGAGTGGTTTTGCTTGATTATCTTTTTTTATTTGGATTTTGTTGTTTTGTTTTGCAGGTAGAGGAACCTCCTACAAACAAGCTCTTTAGTGAAATTACAAAGGGTATTCAGCATTTATTTACCTCGGAGGGAGGGTACTGGTTTGTAGGGGGCTGTGGGACTTCTGCGAGCTTAGTGTCCTCTCTCGTTATTTTTATATTATAGTTATTGTCTCAAGAAATTTGTTCTTGATGCGCATGCTTGACCTGATCGAGCCTTATATATGAGATTGTTTGAGGGGATTTCGGTTCAAGGAAGTAATTGAAGTCAGACAATATGGGTGCTGTTTGTTGCTGCTTGCATGCGGAAGATTTTGAGGAGTATATGAATCCCAACAGTTCGGTATATAGGAACTGTGTGTGTCTCAGTTGTTTTGTTCAGAACTTCTTAAATGCGGTAGGTTTTGTGGTTCTTGTTAATATACATTGTTGTTTAGATATAGTGCTGATTGTATGTTTGAATTGCATGACCTGCTTACTCTGTGGTAATATGACTGGTTCATACTTCATAGGGTATGTCCTTTGTTATATTTCTAAATTATTAAGTTATTGGAGTTTTCAAGGTTCTATCTTCTGATTCTCTGTTTATGGCATGTGTCAAGGCAGTAGCCAATGGTTTTTCCTGTAATTTGGTCTACTACAGTGCTGTAACTTATCTATTAAGCCTTGCCAATGGTACTGGCTGTTACAAAGTACGCATATTAAGCTGCTGTGGAACTATTAACCTATCAAGGTGTTCAACATTCTTGTTTAGGAAAGTCTATAGATAGGTTATGATAACAGAGGAGTGGTTGTTAGGCAGTCTGCATTTGAGTTCTCACCAAAACATCAGTGTTTACAGTCCTCCCTTGTTGAAGTATGGATTGGTCCAAGTCCATGTTGCACCATTAAATATGATTCTAAGTGTTTAAATTAGTTGTTTCTGTTTAGGTATGAAGTGTGCATCAATTGGGCTGCAACCAATATCAGAGAATTTTTTGTTTTTTTTTTGGACCAAAGATGAGGAACTTTAGTAGGACTGGTTTTTATCTGTTTCAATATCGATCCGAGAAAGCTTGTCTTCAATTATTTCTGTTATGGGATTGCAGCTTTTTAATCGTCATCTCTTCGTCTTTCTCAATTTTGTAGTATAACTTATTATTCCGAAGAGGGGAAGTCCATTCTGTCCCCTCATCCATTCAGGGAGCAGCATCTATGACATCTTCTGCATCACTAGACAACTCTCTTTCAGACATCTATCGCTCTCTTCCAAGGCCCTTGCCATATGATGCTGACACCAGATATTTCCGCTTGCAGCGTGATGGCCTTGTTTCAAGACGTGAGAAGGGTTCAAGTCACTCACAAGAGGAAACAGAACCTTTAAGAGGTAATAATGATGTGGATTCTGAGTCATTGAACACGGGAGACAAATGGAATGCTTGTGAAGAAGGATCAAAGGAACAATATTCAAAATCCTCACAAAGGCTCTCGACAGCAAAATCAGCATCTGGCATTGGGTATGTTTATTCATCATCAGAAGAGGAAGATATCTGCCCAACATGCCTTGAAGGTAAACTTCCTCAGGTAGTTTAAGAATAATTTAATGCCTTCTCCATATCAACTGTGACCTTATGTATTGGAATCTGCCATGCCATAAAGTTCAGAAGCAAACTGCAAGATCAAATTATATTTCACTGTTTTCATTTTTCCTCTCTCATTAAACATTAGAAGGCATAGTGGAATTAGTTTCCTTTTTAACTTCTCCTAACTGCAAATGAATAAGACAAGCTTCTTCACAAATTGGAAGGAATCTGCATTTGTTGCATTTTGCAGTACTTGTAATCAATCTTCAATCTATGCTACATTATGTAGGACAGAAATATCACCTTTGTTGATGTATTAATGACATCATAAATGCAATCTTAAGTAGGAATTTTTGCATTTATTTAAATTAATTTATCTTTCTTCTGATCTTATTTTCACATTCTACATGCAGAATATACTCCTGAAAATCCCAAGATAATGACAAAATGTTCCCACCATTTCCACCTTGGTTGTATTTATGAATGGATGGAGAGAAGTGAAAATTGCCCTGTTTGCGGAAAGGTAAATCTTTTATTTTCCTTACAAACTTTGATGTGAATCTGTGACTACCTAAATCTTTCGCTCTTGACATGGCTCTTTCTTTTTCTTCTTTTCCTTTTTTTTTTTTTTTTTTTTTTTTTTGGTCCTCTTTAGGTTATGGATTTCGAAGAAACAACTTGATCTTGCCTAAGAAAGGCCTGTGTTGTGGATCAAAATCAGTGACAATCAAGGGGAGGGGTAAAAAAATGATGTGTAGAGTATTTTGTGAATATTCCAGGTTAAAAGTGTTTGTCATTGTCCATTTGTCCGTAAATATGAAAATTGTTCTCCAAAAGAATTGTGGGTACATTCTCTTTATGATGCCCTTGAACAGGGGAAATTTTACCTTTTTTGATTGCAATGAAAAGAAATTATGTGATGAAGCTGTGTTCAATGGCATATTTTTTCAGTGTTATTTTGCAGAATTACCATGCTGGTTGATTCTCTGTAAACTCAACGAAGTTAGTATAGAAAAACACGAAAATTGGAGCACTGTAAAGAGTATTTCAAGTTATGGGTAGAAAGCTTAGATCATTGATTCGTTTTTCTGTAAAAGATGAAGGTTTATACTGTATCTAGAAATTTCATATTACAGGGAAATTTTATTGGTAGCTAATTGAGCATTTTTACTTTGAATATCTGCTGCGGGGAAGTAACATCAGTTTGTAGTCACTTGAAAAGCTCTCATGAAGACTTCAGGTGGTTGGCCTCCGCTCAGCTGGTGTTTCCCATTTATCTGCCAAAAAAGACGGTCTTTAATTATGAATCAACAAGCATTTTCAATCCCATCTGCCAAGGGTAATTCTTTTTCACCTACCACATAATGAGGGACTCCAGAGATATGAGAAGAGTACTTGTTGAGCTCCTCATTAACCTTAATTAGACCATAAAAAAAGAAAGCTCAGTATGAATATAAAACTATCGGAAGAACTAACGATTTAGTTAAAACTTGAAACTCATGAACATGAAGGATTACGATATGTAGATCGGAGTTCTGCTATGAAATTTTGGCAGTCAAAGGACTTGTAATTTGTAAAGGTAGTAGCAGATAACATACCTCCTTAAGTCCATTGTTAGCGTCCTCAAGAAACTCTGCTCCTCCTTCCACCCCAACCTTGCTAGCACACTCCAGAAGAAATTCCCTGTGCCCCAACTACTCTGTTAGCTATAATCAATTAGGGCTAAAGATATGCATGAACAAAAATCTACTTTACCCACAAATGAATGCAATGCCAAGTTGCCAATACAATAACAGCCTAGTTCACTCATGGTTGCTGAGGGGGTGTATGAAACTAAAGTCAAGTTAAATATTTCCAGTTTGATCTGAAGAAATAGGATGGGAGGATGAGTTCATTACGTGTCTGAAACAACATCATGATATTGATGCCATAAAAGGAAAAAGTAGGAAACATAGAGTGTTAGAGCAATATCCAATACTAGAAGGCCTTGACATGAAACATGGAGGTAGGGAAGATGGAGCCAAACATGTCATCTAGAAAAAATTTCAAAACATTGATAACTCAGTTATGTTGCCTAATCATCTGGAAATTAGAAGGGTCTGTCTGACAAATCAACCAAAGGCTAATATTTCTTTATTTTTTTTGTGTGTTTAAGAGAAAAGGCCACAGATTAACTTACCTCTCACCAATGTATTTTCCCTGAGTGAAGTAGCCAAGACAAAGCTCCTCCACAAGATTATGTTGCTTATCAAGGCCCTGCTGCCCAGCAAAATATATAAGCCTGTGGCTGTCAAGAGTACTTCCCCTGTTCAAGTTCAAGCCAGTGTTAGTATATCTTGCTGATATGGTCCCTTCAGAAGTTCAGGTACATCAAATAAAATGGTTCACATGAAACTGTAAAACAAAAAGTCAAGCTTACGTGAGTCCAGACATGTTATATTCCAGTCCAAGATTTCTAAAAACCTGCAATTTTTTAAAAGGGATCATAGTGTGTCAGATACCAGTAAAATCCAAAGGAGTTCAAGTTGATGAACAACACTCTCTAGTATTGTTAAACCTCAGTCATCCGAGTTATGATTCCTTCAGCTCGAGATCCAAACTTCTTCTCATAATATTCTCTCTTATTGACACCTTCTTTAGGTGCAGAAGGATTAAGAAAAAATGGGTGCCATTTAATCTGCAAAGCACAACCAAAAATGAATGAGGAACCATAAATCTAAGAGCATATTTTGTATGTCAAGTATGTTACAGAGATAGAGGGAAGGGAGGAAGGCACCTCAAAGTCAAATTGATCCTTACATGCAGCAATAGCTTTGTCCAAGTTTCTTTTGCCCACAAAGCACCATGGGCATACTGTATCTGAACTGACATCAATTTGAACAAGCTTCTTTCCAGAGTTACTACTAGTTGACTGAGCCATTATCCTTGTGTGTCTGCTACCTTTCTAAAAGATAATTATTGGTTAGGCTCCAATTTGGAGGAATTACAATATTCTTTATCCAAAACATGAGTGCTTAAAGGGAAAAAAAGAAAAAATCAAATGAAGAGCAGTCACATAGATAAATATCCTTCTCAGTCTCCCCTCCATGACAAAAATGTCAGAACATGCAAATTCTAGTTCTGTTCTAGCAGCTATCCTTAAAAATGCACAAGGGATACCCTACTTAAAATCTCTGCAACCTAAATATTACAATACATATAATCCTGAGCTTGTATGTTGACTGTTCATCATCCTCAATCCATTTTTCTTTTCTCTCTTTCTTTCTTTCTTCTTCTTCTTCTTCTTTTTTTTTTGAAATAGATAGTCCAAGTACCAAGATATTGACTAACA